ACACGTATTCATTAGGACTTAACGGTGATGTTTAGCTCGTAGACATTTTTAGAATTTCACCTTCATTCGTGAGTTATATGACGAAAACGTGCCGAAATTTGCAGTGAGCATGGCATGCGCAGTTTTCCCGCCGGCTCCAAAACTGCGCAGTTTTCCCGTCCACACGCAACGTTTTATCTGCAACGATTAGAACTGCGCAGACAAATCGTTGTGTAAAACTGAGCGTGTAGATGGGGCTTTAGTTCTACTCAGTCGATTGCTGTTTCTTGGTCGGAGCGTACCTACTGTCACTATTTTCGAGTGCACCTGTAGTGGGTGTTAGTGCATTTGCTTTAGTTTAATGTTCGAGTTTTGAATATAGTGTTTAAATTCTCTGAATGTATATATGTGTTGTGTTAAATGAAATGAAATTGTTCCTTAGTACAGTATTGTTAGTTATAGTCTTGCTGACCATCATTGACATTGTTCGGCAGGACCGACTCTTTGCCTGGCCAGCAAATGCGGCTCCTAGTTTTATGATTTTATATATTGTTGAAATTGAAGTCTATCCTTTAGTGGATCGAAAAAATCTTTCAGCAGTTGAAAATTTTTCTCATTCAATCGTATATTTCATGTAAAATGTCACTTTTCGAACGAAGAAATAAATGTACATGATAAACTTTACATTCGACTTGATTGACTACACTAATAGTAATTGCTAATTTGATACGCTAAGTTGATGCGAAAACGTTTCAATATATGAAGGAATATTGACCGGTGAACGCCACGCTTCAGTTATTAGGCGTGCACGCTTATCAGCTTACATGTAGTTGGACGGCCGGTGTTTAGGATGAAGTAGCGCCACTTAGCCTAGTTAACGATTGTCACGTTGGATTTTCATTTGAAACTCAATTTGTGTACAAAAATGACGTTGCTTGACTAGGGTTCATTAATTAATTGCCATAGAGGCATTGTTGTTCCAATCTGGAGTCATTCCGGCGATCGTCGCTTGCTACGTCAGAAGTGTACGCTCCTTCGTTCATAGCTGATCGAGCTGATAATTTTCGTATTTGGAACTCGTACAGATCGATTTCTAAAACCAAGCCCATTGGATACCATATATTGTCAGGCGACATGAACATATCGGCCATTTTAACCAAGCTCCACCCATGAGTTATTTATCAAATTATTCGTCGATTGAGTGGTCAGTCAGTGACTCGTTAAAAAATATTTATTATCGCCAGCCCTACATTTAATGCACCAGATGAGATCAGTATCGGGCGTAGGGTGGCATTTAAATGAGGTAGACCATGAGGGGTCACTCTATTCCAGCATGAACACTCTAGCAGCCGTTGATGGAAGAGAAGCATATTCCTGGACGTGTTGGATTTCAAGTGTGTATAGTCAGTACTCCAGCGAAGCCAAAAATTGTCAACACCGTTTAACGAAAATATCGTTGCACAATTCTGTTGAGGCTATTTGTGCGACGAGCTTGTCGATTGGCGTGTACATGTTATCGTGAACGTCGCCAGCGATCAGTTATAATTTTTGTAGCGGAGTAAAAACGCTATTAGACCAGGCACTCGGTCATTCACCTAAATTTGGATGTAAACCGGCGTAAAACTGATACACATCAAGTGAAACTAATGGATCGCATATTCAACCCTGATAATTTTGGGGCAGAACCATTGTCATATGGCCATTGTGTTATAGCAAGCCAAGCATCGATCGATTTGAAACGGAATTCGGTAGGGATTCGACAATCCCTCGAGCGCAATGTGCGCCCGACGCCAAACCTAACCAACTCGGGCCAGCAGTCTCCCGCGTTGGTGCCTAGTTCGACGACGAATCCTCCACCTAATCTCGATTGTATCTAACGCCCGTTGGTTCGACAAACGCCCAATGACTTCATGCCTCGGCAATCAACCTGTTCGCAATTGTACGACTTGATCAACCGTCAAGCGTATCGTCAACCCTCTTATATGAATTGGTCATTCATCGACCCACTTGGCAACCGTCGTTCGACTTGCTTTATCGGCCTGCGGCTACTCAGTCGACAAATTTGGCTCGACAAGTAGAAATTCAAAAACCTAACGGATTTTTACGTCCTTCAAAATGGAGTGAAGCAAGGCGAAGTCCAGTTCCTAATACCGTATCGTGCCAATCCTTTTCGATCTAGCTTCTTCATTTGTTTGTTCGTTCGAGTTCATCAATAATTCTGACAAAAATTAACTTCTTTTACTTGCATCACGCCCACACTTATAGGCGATTTTTTCTTAGTTGTTTAGATGAAATTTATTTTCACGCATGTTGCGGTGAAAATATTCCATCCAAAGCATAGGTGAAAGCATTCTCTCTCATGAATAATGTATAGGTAAAATTGTTCTCTCACATTTATAGGCTAAAATTTTCCCTCACAATTATAGGTAAAATTAATCATGGTCAAGTGATATTAGGAATATATCATTCACTTACATGTATGGGTAGATTGTGATTGTGTTTGATGCTTATGAGAAGATTACACGAGAGATGCCACGACTGTGCTTCAGTTCATAAATGGCTGTGTTGCAGAGTCCCGATTCCGTTTTTCAACGCATGTGGGAGGAAAGAGAGCGCCTCATCATGAGGGTCAACGCTCTCGAGAGCTCCAATGAAGAGTTGCTGCGCGCAAATGCCTTGCTGGAGAAGGAAGCTGCCCGGCAAAGTAAGTGATTATCCGCCAACTGTACTCGCGTGTTGTACATATTTTTTTTTGTTGCATTAGAGATTTTGAAGTTTAAAAATTACTCAATTACTTTTGAATAATCCCGTGTCTTGGATGTTACACCCAACCTCTAAAAATTAAAGGTTTTCAGTTAAGTCGCAGATTCCCTAACCAATTTTTTTCCTCTCTACGAGAAGGTCGTGACTGGAAAAAACGCCTGCTGGATTGCCGCAGCTTAAAGGAGCACGCCGAAGAGTGCGCATATGAACAGGTATTGAATGTTGCATGTTACATTGAATGTTGCTGTAGTGGTGGTATGTAACACGGTTGCACTAACTGATAGTCAGTCTAGCTTAATTTCATAAGCGCAGGTTTTGAACGTTTTTGGCTTGGTTTGGTTATGTAATAAAACGTAAAATTTAAAGAAAACGGCAAAAAGGGGTATTTTAGAAAATCTATCTCCTTTAAATATCGTACTATGTACAACATCGAGACATTGGTTTTTTTATGCGCGTTTTTCCCATTTTTCCACTTTTTCCCTGCCCTCCCCCCATATATAAGACAAACAATGCAGTAAATAATGATGTAGTCGATAGGTCTCCCCAGATGTAGTCGATAATCTCCCAGATATCTTAGCAACTTAAGTCATTGCAGGAGCAGCGGCATAGCGCACTCCTTACCCGCGCCACTGCTGAGGTGGAGGCTGCTCGCAGAGAGCGGGACTACTGGCAGATGCGCCACGGGCTACTCGAGGAAGCTCTGCAGGAGCGTGAAACGCTCCTGCAGCAACAAGCTGTAAGTAACATCAACTCTTATTTTTTTCTTGCTGAAATGAGTGGCTATGCCCACCTCTCACCCCCACCTCTCACCCCCCACTCCCGCAGAACTACATCGAGACGCTCGAGGAGCTGCGGCCAAAGCAGGTCAATGAGCAGACTGCGGGCGGGCCCGCAGGCAGACCCGCCAGGCGCAGCCAGGCGCAGCCAGGCGCCCAGCCAGGGACGTCGCAGTGCCTTGCAGTTCCCAGTATTCAGGGTGTCCGACACGTACGAGTGTCACCTCGCGGGGGGATGCATGCCAGAGGCCAGCATTGCCCAAGACCAGCCTATCTTTCATCCTCCTTTCCGTGCGTAAGCCTGCTAAAGGGCAGAGTAGACTAAGGGATTGTATGTTAAAAGCCAATAGTACAAATCCCCTTCATGGAAATTAACCAGCGAGCTAATGAGAAGTAAGCCACCAATACAATCGCTCTACGCCGTATTTCCAACAGCTCTATCCCATGCCGTCTAACCTAATCACGATTTTCGGTAAGCAACTCCCTACGCCATACCGCTGTTGATACACAGCCAGCACTCCAGCCCGTCCGTTCGTCGCAGCTGTTTTCCCCCGGCATCACTCTACCTCCACGCATACCCCGTCTCCCCGCCTTTTTTCACTGACTGCCGGACGGCTTTTCTTAGTTTATGCTCACTTGACTGCATTACGCTATGAAAAGAGGATCTCTAGGAGTTGTAAACTAACCTAACTCCTAGATTGTGAACCTAACCTAACTAACCTAACCTAATTCGGATAAGCATCAAAAGTCTGCGAGAAAAGCCTCCAGTTAGTCATGCGATAATGGTGGAGAGTCGGAGTAAGTGTGGGGGGAAGAAGATGCTGGGGGATAGTAAGGCAGAGAAACAGTGACGCGGGGTTAACGTCTTGCGGATTAAGTAAGGTGATGACGCATTACCGTTTGGTACAGTTCACATTTGCAGCAATGCAGTGTGGTCAGCGGACACTTAGGATAACAGTATGTGTAAGAAGTGATGGTATGGGTTATAAAGCATTGGAGAACAACGTATTGACCGTTAACTATGTGGAGTAGCAACTTGTGTGCTGAAGCAGCGTTGATTTAAAGTTCATGTGGTGAGATAGGTCAATTGACTACAGCTGCTTAGGTGCCAGGATGACAATATCTATAGCATTTAGATGGTTGATTTTGGCTCCAGGGCTGATTTGAGCGTTAATTTGCTGGTCTACGGCTGCGCACCCCGTGAAAACAGTGCAATCAGAAATAATCCAGACCTTGTTTACATGAGCGTAATGCCAATAAATAACACCGCTGTTAATAAGGTTAAAATCGGTTTCGATTTTGAAACTTGGCGATGTCTTTTACGGTTTAGTGTGCTAATTAAAATGGAAGCGGACAATAGATTCTGACAACGTCTATTGAGAATTTGAGCGTAGGCCTTATGTCAACAAATACCTTCGCAGGCTTCGCTCATAATAAATCAAGTTCGGTTTCAATTTTACTAAACTGTGCGTGAAAAATCAGACTAAAACTTGGCATATAGCGTGCTAACTAATATAGAAGTGACAATCGTCCTTTTGTAGTATATTTATTTTATCATACCTTACAAAAGCTACAATTTTATTATGAATCTATTTTTCTCCCCTGGTTCCATTCAAATGGGACCGCTCGGCATTAATGGGTTAACAAAAACTGCATAACTATAATTTGTTGTGTTTAATTAACTCCTAATGACTAATTAACTCTTAATGACAGCATTTTTGGTTGTGCTATAAATTTGTTGCTTAGATTTGTTTACAAAATGGATCAGGCCTGTTGAAGTAACTTGAAGATGAAGGCCAGCATTACCAGCAGCAACATAGCCTAAAGGCTAAAGGTAGCAACAGGTAGCAACAACATACCAGGTAGCCTAAAGGCTAAATGCTCTGGTGTCTGGTGACATTACTGACATAAATGACATTGATGGTATTGGTACTTATTACTAAAATCTCACTGCTCTAGATTGATAAATTTTTATTATATTGGGAATCTTGTGCTTCTATTGTGCACTTTTGTTTTGTAAACAAATTGACTGGAGATCCTGTTGGAATCTTGCATCAGGGCGTGAGCAGGCAGCTCCATAACTAATGAGATAACTATAGATCTGGCTCCCAATATTGATATTCTCTATGCCGGCTTTGCGTGAAATGTGCAGGAGTTGCCAGTGCCAGACAGAAATACCTACTTGATCCTTCTATTTTCTGGAAGAAAGATGAAGCAAATTTAAAAGATTTGGTTATTATATTTTAGAGTCTACTCTCAGACTCAATTCCAGGTTGCAGGTAAAGGTGGAAGCATGTCTTCTGCCACTTCTGGACTGCTCTCGTTAAAATGGAACAAACATGATTCCACTCTCCTGCAGCTCTTGACTGATCTGCAAAACAAAGTAGGTTCAAAACTGTGACCCTTATATTTCTATGCCGTAAATTTGTAATAGTGCAAAGCTATTATATCAGTCAAGACCCCTTTCTTGGGCATCTAGGTTCTTTTAAATTTCATATTTGTGGGTTAGCTTTCAATTTGATATGATTGATGAATTCATTCACTATTTTTTACATTATTGAAAATTTTGTGTGTGCAATTGCAGCTTCTTTCAAACTAGGGTAAACGCGGTATATTCCGACATCGTAGGTAATTCCGTCACTTCTCTAGTTTTTCCTTTATATTAAGCTTTGTTTTAGTTCCATGCGTTCATTGATGGTTGAAATGGTGACGTCATACGTTTGCGTGTCAAAATACTGCAAAAACACTAGGTCTTGGCCATCTAGAGGGAAAATATTGAGATCCAAAGAGAGACAATGCATGCCACGTGGTGAGATCATTGCAAAATGTGTCAAATTTGACAGTTGACATGGCTCTACCAAATAGTGAATAACTGTTTTTATAGGAAGAATATTATGGTTTGAGACTTTTAAATACGTCTGAGATCAACATTTTGTGATGTTTCATTGTTGCTGACGCGTAGTGAAGTGTTTTGAGAGTCATGTGAAGGCAACAGAACTTATGTAACGCATACGGTTTTTTTTTATAGTTTTTCATTTCTCGATGCGTCCTTAAAGTGTCGGAATATACCGCGTTTACCCTATGGGAATCTTGCACATGTACCATTTTGTGTTCATTGTTCAAATTATTTAGCAAGTTTGCAGTCCTGGATAGTAACTTAGAGTCTTAGACTAGAGCAGGGTAGACAAATTTAATAAATTTGGTATGAATATTTCACAAATAATAAAATAAACTGAATGGAGGTTTTACCTTTGAAAGTGAAAATTTAATCATTTGTTTATTAATGCGCTGATTTCATCTTGTCATAATGAAAAATAATTTTCAGTTTGAAACCAACTTTCATGCAATTTAATGTTGTTCCACTTCAATTAAGCATCTCAACATATGTCATTCAACACACACTTTTGTGTGCAGCACTAGTAGAGCAATTAACTTTAATTAACTCAACACATCATACATGCAATTTTGCAAAGCTTTCTTTAAACCTCAAGGTAGCATCTAACTTGGGATCAAAATGCTGTCCTAGCCCTCTGTGCCTCCCTCATTAGTCAGTGTGTGTCATTCCACATTCATCATTTAGAAATATAAAAAAATATTTTTTAGCGCATTCTCTAATTTATGGAAAAAAATACACTATTGTGCTCGCCATGTCCGTCTGTGTCTGTCCGTCGTCTGTCTGTCCATGACCTCAAGTTTTTGTCAACGAGAAAATGCGCTCTCTGTCACTCACTGTTGTGAGTACTGAGTTACATTTTTTACATTTTTACTGATATGGATTAATTACTTCTTTTACTTTTTTCCTGCTCATTGCTTCTACATTTAGATTACCTATGATTTGTATTTGTTTTCTATATGTCTTCAACCATTCCCACCAGACATCTTGCATTGAATCAACATTGAATTAAACATTATTTCATTGAATTGATATTGATATAGTAATGTTGATTCAATGTCATTTACCTAGGGGGTTGTATTCTTCATCAAAAGCTTTAAAATTTCTATTCCAAAATAATTTAGTTATTTCTTGACTTCTTTGCAGTGCCGCTATGAAGATGCTACTGTTTCCTGTGGGGGAAAGTTCTATCCCGTGCACAGGATTGTGCTGTCAGGCTGCAGCAGCTATTTTGAGCAAATTTTTGCTCTGATGCATGACAAACATCCCATGATTGTGCTCAAGGATATCACTTGTGACGTTTTCGAGGCTCTCTTAAGCTACATGTATGTCGGCCGAGTTGAAGTGAAAAAGGAAAACCTTGGGGAACTTATCAATGCTGCAGCTTGCTTGGAAATCAAAGGCTTGGCAGTTTCTGAAGAGTATGAAGGAGTATCTGCTATCAATAGCAGTGCCTCAGAAGGAATGGCAGGGCTGAAAAGAAAGGGGGATCACTTACATGACCTGCATGATGACAGTGATGACTCTAGCCAGTTTCCTAAAGTGAAACGCATTCCATCAATAAATTTTGAAGAATCAGTCTGTGGGAAGGAGAGGTCAAATCTCATCACTAAGGGCCATGATGAAGCACAAGAAGAATTTAGTGTCAACAATATGGAGAGCGTCCAGGAAGAACTGCATGATTATGCCATTGTATGTGAGGATGAAGATGATGACTCTATTGTTACTACTCAAGAATATGATGTCAAAGTGAGTTAATGCTACATAATGTATAAATTTTTCATAAAATGCTAATGCTTTTTGCCAAAGTTCGTGACATATAAAAATTTCATCTTTGGTTTGAAAGCTGGTAAAATTCTCTATGGTTTAAATTTTTATTGATTTTATCTTTTGATGGCTCTAAAATTTTGTGTCATTTGCCTCAAATCATGAATGTGTCAATCTTCTGCATAAGATTCCTATTATTTTTCAGTTTGAAGCTGAGGAAAGCCATGAAGTTCTAAGCCAGGAGTCATGCAGCCAGTCAAGGGCAAGTGCTGCCATCTTTGATTTTGAAGCGAGCACCTCTGATGCTGAGAGAGCTGAGATGATGGAAGCTGAGTCTAACCAGCATGAACTACGCAGCCTCAAACTCTTTGATAAAAAGGTTCGTTCCATTGTACAAATTTGATCACCATTAAATTGATTGCAAATGTTTACCTATAATTGACTCTAAGTTCTTGGTAAAATTGAATATTAAGCCATGTAGGGTCAGTTCATTAATACTAATATCAGCTACACTGCCCTACATTGTGAGTGATATAATGTCTGTCCATGCTTGATTTTCTGTCAAATCTATTAGTTTGTGTTTTCCTATTGCAGTTCCTCTATTGTTATAACCATCACCTCATTTGCAATGATAGGTGTGCAGTGATCCCCATTACTTTTGTAAGTAACGTACGTAATCTCTCTTGTGAGACTTTGAGTGGACATAAAGCATGATATTTTACAGCGGCCTGATCACCAAACTGACGGCCAAGGAGGAAGTAGTGAGTGCTCTGCAGTGTCTACACCTCGAGTGGCTGGCGAGTGTGAAGAGAATGCTCACGGCTTGCCTGTGTACACGGAAAATGGCCCAGCCTCTAACACTTCTTATGCAAGTGACAATGTCGACACTTCCATATCTTTTGATATTTATAGCATGCTTGATCTGCATTATGATGATGCTACAAATAACAAAGAAGTGGACTTCTCGTCCATGTTGCTCAAAGGTTTTGCTAGCGTGCCTGGTGCAGATAGTCTAACCAGTCAAAAGTCTCCAATATTGAGGCAGCAGTGGCAGTGCCCTCAATGCGACTACTCAACTCCCGTGAAGCAATACATAACCCAGCACATCAGGCGGCACACCGGCGAAAAACCTTTTAAATGTAACCTGTGTGACTACCGAGCTGCTCAGAAACAGAGCGTGACGTATCACATGCGCCGCCACACTGGTGAAAAGCCTTTTAAATGTCCTCACTGCACATATTGTTCCTCGTCACGGCAGAACCTCGACCGCCACGTGAGACGGCACACGGGAGAGATGCCGTACGGCTGTCCGTACTGCAGCTATCGCTCCATCACTAAAGGCCCTGTTGTTGATCACATGAGAGCTAAGCATGGTGAGCTCGAGTGTGATAAGTCACTCGTGCTCAAACTTGAGGCCAAGAATGAAGGTTCCAGCATCACCTGAGAGTTGTAAAACAAATGAGCACCAATTATCAATGATGCTCATTTGCTCGCGACTCTAACGCTCCGACAATGGGTAGATTAACTGTCGTCCATTATATTTTTATTTTAAAACCCGCATAACTACAGCAGCCGTCAGTAAACCAAAAACCATAGCTCATTACCCCCTCTCTAACATTTCCAGCAATTGGGAATATTGTCCTCGCTCGATGTTGAACGTAAATTTTTGAATATTTTTAAATTTCGTGTCATGCATCATATTTTTAATATTAATTTATTGGTTTGTGAAATTTTTAATGGACAGCGTTGCGTTGCCTTCATAAGCTTCATATAAACAGGATAAGTTTCATATAAAACAACGCAGAGGGATTTGTTCTCTGTACATTACCTAAAGGTAATTTGTATTTTTGAACCACTCAAAAACTGATCTCAATTGCGTATACTAATGTTTTATTTAGAGGTTAAGATATCTAGCATTGAGGTAGTATAGCTAAGATTTGTGAGCATTTCTAATTTCTAGTGACTCTAGTCTAGTCCTCGCCAAGACCTTGCTTAGCCAGGGTATATGTCAACATCTCTGTGTTCTTAACTTAACATTCCTCATGGATTCTCATATTTATTTTATTGCTGTTGTAGTAAAATTGGGGGGGCCACCCCCGGGTTTTACCCCGCGCTCTCAGTACGCGTATTGATACTTGTATCCGAACAACTTTATACTCAGTACCAGGAAAATCGGGATGGAGGTAAATCGTTTTACGTTGGGTCTTTGACGCCGAGTCCCATGTTAAAATGGAAGACGCTGCTTAAGCACATTATTGTAGACATCGTGGGATGTGCGACGATAGAATTATACTATTGGTATTGATATTAAAATGTAGGGGGTGATTGGAACATTCTGGTTCTGTAATTTATGTATGATTTAAGTGTCCTATTAGAATGCCCGTTGACTTACAAATCTGAATAAATTACTTAGTAGGAGTAGTATAATTTTTAGTTAACTACGAGGTGATACAAGATATTAAGTGGTCACATTTTCCCCCAAACTATTGCGATGTAACTTTTTATCCCATCATTTCTACTCACCTCGTTTAACTCTTGCCTTTCTGCACACGAACAACTGCACCTATACTTAGTACGATTATTCCGTGAAATTATGCGGCGTGATAAAGGGCTCAAAAAGATCGTTTCTTCCCTAGTCCTGAGTAGTATAAAACGTGCAGACGCTAGAAAGGATTCGCAATAATTACGAATATGTTACATGGGGCAGAACTTACCTTGCATTGCTGACGAATGTCCTCTCTTACATTTTCATGTAATTATTGTCAACTAGATAACTCGCGTAAGGGATCCCAAGCATAACCCTTTTTTCACAAAGTAGTAGGGACACGTGTGCTGTGTCCTTTTGAAAACAACGAATATTTAGCAATCGCGCGTTCAATGTCATGTTTGCACTTAACAAAACCACCAAGTACTCAGAAGTTATACTTATTTACGAAACGCCAAGTGATGATACGTAGAAAATAGTTTTTAGTAGTTAGTGTGCGAAGAATTTTTTGGATAGGCCAACCCATGTCTGCATGTTAGAATTCAGAGTTTTTTTGAAGGTTATGAAAAATTGAGATTGTTTCCAGGCAGCAATGCACAATTCATAAAGTTATTCTAACTTTGCACAATTATATTTTGAATCATTTGAAATTCTGTGCCTCTGGTATGTTATATTATTGTATGTATCGTCTTGCGTCATGTAGCAATGCTTTAAAATCTTATTGTAAACTGCCTATCTGGTGGTAACGGTAGGTAATATTAACTGTAGTATCTGTAGTTCAGTGCCAAAGGTGTGTGGAAAGTTCAGTGCCAATATATACATATATTCCAATATCCATTCAAAATTCAATCTAGGATTGAAGCTCGGTGCAGAGTTATGTCTTGTTACGATAGAAAGTAGACTATTTAAGAGTAGCATTTCTGATGCATCAGTATTCTAGTCAACGCCAAGTTACAGTAAGTAATTTTGTTCCAGCTGCCACGTAGATTAAGTGACTGGAATGTTTAACTATAGCCCCCGTTTTCAGGTAGGTAATCCAAGCAACCTTGTTTAATGAGTCAGTCTATTTCCTTCGATTCGTTCTAGCTAATTAAATATTGCTGCTTGGATATCAGTTTGGAGTATTAATAAATATTAATAAATACCTGTTTTATTGAAAAAATAGTTGAATATTTCTTAACGTTAACAATTAGTACCACAAGTACAAAGTAGTCACATTATGATCGATTTGACGAATACATCAGCACCTTAACACGAAAAGTTTCAAGATGCAAAAGCGCTCTGGCTGTAATATTTGCTTATTTGCGACTTAGGGACGGCTGTCTCACATTGACTACATATTACATCACGACCCGCTTCCGTACCAGTCAGACAGCTCCTGCACATCAGATGCTCGCATGGCGATAAAATGTAGAGTTGATGCCCCCGAGACAGGCACTTGGCACACTCGTCCGAGCCTTGCAACAGACGTTCGCTGCTGAAATCAGTGAATTCTGGTTTTAAGCCGTCTCCTCGGATCAATTTTGCTGGCTTCACATTCAAAAGTCCTCGAGTTATAGGAACTACGCCACGATTTGAATTACAAGGATTCGAGACGTAAGACTCTGAAGTTGTAGAAAGATATTTCTTTACAGTTACACAACTTGATGGCCGGGACACCAAGCGAGGCAAACCTTGATGCCCTCCGTTGTTACTGTTCGTGTTAGCAGGAGTCGACAGGACCGAACTACAAGCACGTTTTGTTGAACTTAAGCTTTTCAATGACGGTCCATCTTCACTCTCGAAGGAGCGTTGTCGCTTTTGACCAGTCAATGTAACAAGGCCAGCGTTGGTAGCCTGCTCCGTATCACCAGAAGCAGATGCAACTGAGAAATTATTTCTCGCGCTCCCAGATGTTGCAGTTGACTTCTTTGTCAAAGAGATGCAGCCACCAGCTGATGAGCAGTGATGCAAGGTCATGAATCTGTAAAGTAATGTGGAGATTTTTTTATCGAGACATTTTCATGCTATTGCGGTTGACATTATCACACAAGGAGCTATTTATCTCCCATTGTTTACAGTCTATCACATGCTGTTGTTCGATACAGCAACGTTGGTATATCTTGCCACTCTAATTTCAGTATTTAAACCCCATATGATTGTCATTTTCTTTAACGAAAGGAATAACGGCATAATAATATTAATCAATATTCAAAATCACCGTTCTGATTAATTTTTCCATTGAGTAGCTATATCATCCAATAAGGTTACTCGCTGCTGATTCGATCCCTATGTTTTCAATACTATTACCACAGATCATATTCGTGTATTCGTGACAATAAGTCATGTTAAAAAACATTAATACTGAACAAATTACATTCTAAGGAACATGTTGATGAAGCACGAGTTGCCGATATTTTCAATTTGCATCCCGAAAATTAATGCCCCTGTCAAGTAAAATGAATAAATCTTTCTAGTATAGATTTTTAAAGTGTTAGAAGACATTTCCTTTCATCTCTCAAAAAAATTAAATTCCAACTTGTATTCCATTAATGAAGCATAATTTTTTACAATTTTTGCATCATTTTAATTAATATGCAATGCTAAAGCAGCCAAGAAAATAAAATACGTTTAAAAATTACTTTTTAAAGACAACACTTCTAAAGATTCCAGTGTTTCCAATGTTACAGATGTACAATGAATTTCTAATTTTATTTTTCAAATATTAAATAAATTAATTTTTCAATTTTTTAATACATAAATATTGTTCAAAATTATTCATTCTGTCAATTGATTCATGCATTGCCTCCAACTTCACGCAAGTGTGCAAAATTTCAGATTGATAGGATAAGTAAAAGCGTGTTAAATTTTGATTACAAGATTTGTAGCAGACAGACAAACAAGCAGACAAACAAGAAGTGAAGTTGAAGAGAAGTGTTGCAAAAAGAAGAATGTTGACAAAATCTTTCTTCAGCCATCGTACTTGCACACACGTCAACTACATGTAGATCATTTAAATGAGACCAGCATTAGTTGGAAATGTCAAGCAAGCAGTTATAATAAACTCCTAGTCTAAATATACAGGCTCGGTGTACTCTTGAAAATTTTCAACTGATGATCCCGCTGCTATTTATCAATGACAGTTCATCTTCACTCAAGAAGGAGCGTTGTCGCCTTTGACCAGTCAATGTAACTCATCCATAAAAATACGGCTAATTTACTTGAAAATTTTCTTGTCATAAATTCATTGCTAATTTGCGATTCAAGTGACAAAATGATTTTGTTAGTACCTGTCAATCCTGGTTTTGAGGCCAACATTTGGTATAGGCTTCCTGTCACTCGTGTAAGCTATGCCCGTAAACGGGTTAGAGGGAGGCCGATTGTAGCACATCTCAGCGGCATTGAATCTGTAAAACACAACAGCAACATTTACTTCAAATTTAAATCAAATGTGAGCAAATTGTCATTAAGACTTTTCAACCAGCTGGAGTGGTATCTTTGGGAGATTGTATTCAGTCAATTCATGCAACATAACAATTTGGAGACCATCCCCAGAAAGCGTTTTATAACTTTTCATTTCATTTTATTGCGTTTTTTGACCAAGTTTGACCAAAATAAATAAACCCAGAACATTTGAAAATATTGATGAAAAGCAAATTCATGTGTGGTTAACTTAAAAAAAAAGCTTTCCATATCTCTCTACCTACTTAGCTTTAATGCTCAAGTTCAATCAATTCATCAAAGTTTATAGCAGTGGCAAATGTATGCAGCATGTGCTTTCTTCTCAAATCCCACTTGTCAAGTGTGCTTATGTCCACGGAGTGCCCTGATGGAAGGAGCATTGGAGTAACCATCACCTCACAAGTGATTGGGTCCAGGAACTCTTCAGGAATGTCATCGTCATCAATATCTGTAAAATAGGATCAAAAGTTATCTCTTTGTGATTGGATGAATAATTAATTGTAATTAAGGCAGTTCGTTATTATAAACTCTAGTGCCTGGACTTACTATCTGAAGACAGTGGGTTACACATAAATATTTTGTCTCAATGATAGGTTCTGATGCCAAACACAAATAAAAATCAACCAAGATTTAGCAAAAAATAATCTAGATAGAGTATCAGTAGTGTCAACATACATTCTGTAGTAGCAGTGATAGATAAGAGTCAGCAATAATTAGAATGAAGTTACAAAATAAAATAACCAAGATGAAACTCTAATCGCTCACTTTTTGTGGTAAAGGGACCATTGCTTATAGAAGAAGAGGTAGAGTGCTGCAGCAAGTCAGAACTTGGAGCCAGTTTCAGCTCATTTGGCAGTTGTGACTTTAGATGAACTTGCCAACAATTAAGAAGTGCCTGTTTTTCAGCCAATGATGCCAGGTCCCCAACTTGCCCCCACACTTCTACATTTCTTAGTCCTGATCCTCCTGTGCTGACGTTTCTCAACAGACGAATCCTCAGGCATCTTACATTCTTCAGATCTCTTCTGTCTGGACTCCTGAGCCTCCCTTCAAATACTGAGACTGTCTGTGACAATCTCCATCTCTTTCTACCTGCTGGATATTGGTGCCACTTATCACAGTGGGCACTGGTGAGGTGAATGCATTCTTCATTGTTTGTGTTGTACCAGCCAACTTTGACAAAACTGGCTTCATCTCTGGGATGACAGTTCATAAACACAGCAAAGGCGCAACATTGTTTATAGAAGACTTTGGTATCAAAAAATATATGGAATACATCAACAGGTACTTTGAAAATGAAGTCTATGTTTACAGGAGGTCGTACAAATCCCTCTGTCAAGAATCCCTTTGAGCGTATTGATGCTTGATTGTGTATCTGCAAATGTGAAAACAAATTACATCATTACTGCTATTAATACATCAATAATACAGTTAATAATTTAATTTGCACTCTACAATGTGCACAAATTTTCAAGTTCTGCCAATTTTCTACTCAGAAATGATAACAGGACTTCAATTGCAAGGAGTGCATAAGTGAAATAAATAAAAAATTAAATTAACTGACTTGAAATTCAAATCAAAAGAAAAATTGCAAAGCTTCATAGTTCACAGGAAGAAAGTGAAACTAAATGAAATTGAAACATAGCTCAAACATGCTACATGTACAAACATGCATAGCTCAAACTTTCAAACTGATCTAGTTTGAAATTTTGTTCACTATCCTATGGGAGTAAACGCTCAGGGGCAGGATTGGAACTTTTTTTCCTTCTTGTTAAAGAAATCTCAGGACTTCAAAGTGGCAAATTTTCACTACATTTTGAATCTTGCAGCTTGATTGTGCTCTTTTTTTAACAATTAGATAGGTGGTAACTGGTACTGTAATTCATATCTGGCTGCTCCAAAAATGGCAGAGCCCAAGTCCTGCCTTGAAAGGTAGAGGTTTTCCATACTAGCTTGGGGCATGCCCAGATAATGAGGTCAACAAAAAACTCTCTTGTTTGTCACCATGCAATTATATATGCCTTATTAGGGTAGTTAGGCATAAGTTCTTCATTTATGCAGGTTTGATTGATGACCAGAGCATACCATCAAACTGGGTAATAAGGGACTGGTGTAGTAAAAAGGGACAGTCCTCCAACATTTCATAGAAATGCTGTAGCAGCTAAACTAATTGATATTTGGCAAAACAAAAAACAGTGGCACAAAGTTCAACATTTTTCTTATCTATGTAGCATAAAGCATGTTAAGAAATTGTAAAACGGGGTAATAAAGGACACCACTGAAAATGCATTTACAGTAAAACCTTGATTAGCAAAGGCTCCAGTTAACAGAAAAATTAATAAATTGTTAAATAGTAAAAAAATCTTGATTACATTTAGCACACTCGGCGGAAAAATTTCACCTAACAGAAAATTAATGCATCATTGGTAATCACAAAATTGTGCATAAAATGTCATTAAGAGAATTTTGCACCAGGCAACATAAAATGAAAAGCTATTAACCTAAGCTCTGATTTATTTTTTCAAAAAATATAATGGTTGTCACTAAAATATTCTTTTCTGTTTCAGGTATCATCAAACGGGTAACAAGGGACGGATGGGGTAATCGGGACAGTTGTCTCACATAATCACATTTCGTAGAAATGTTGTAGCAGCTAATCAAAACATTGCAAAACTAAAAATAGTAGCGTAAAGTTCAACATTTTTACTGTCTATGTAGCATAAAGCAAATTAAAAAATCATACGTTTACTACCTCTAAAAATTCCCTGAATAATAAAGTGTGAAATAGCACTTGAAATTTTGGAAAAGTACCTATGCTAAGGTCTGTAGCAAAAAAATATTCGCCATATTCAAAATTTTACTAACATAAAAGTTACACAAAGGTGTTTGCTTAAAAACGTGATTGACGGAATTTGCACCCCTAAATAAAATGTATAAAAAAAATTTTTAAAGACCACGTTTTTCATGTGGACTCAAAAGTAGAAAATAATTTTTCGGCAGCTACTGATCTCTGTTTGCTTTCATTCTCTTGGTTTTTTAATTAACAGCTATTAGGCTTTTAATTAAGCAAATTTCAATTTTTGTACAAAGCTTTGAACGATCTGTGTGTGTCCAATTCAAGTTGTGTCAGAATTAGTTTTCATGTGTCTAAATCCAACATCTCAACTTAATCATCTATTAATTTATTTACGACTTGAAATCAGCAACTACAAGTATACTTGAAGGATTCCTAATATATTCACAGTCTCACAGATGTATTTAAAAGTCTCAAACCATAATATTCTTCCTATAAAAACAGTTATTCACTATTTGGTAGAGCCATGTCAACTGTCAAATTTGACACATTTTTTGATGATCTCACAACGTGGCATGCATTGTCTCTCTTTGGATCTCAATATTTTCCCACTAGATGGCCAAGACCTAGTGTTTTTGCAGTATTCCAACACGCAAATGTATGACGTCACAATTTCAACCATCAATGAATGCATGGAAGTGATGATGGAACTAAAACAAAGCTTAATATAAAGGAAAAGCTGGAGAGGTGACGTAATTACCTACGATGTCGGAATATACCACGTTTACCCTATCTCCTGTTCCTGTAAGGCTGTAAATGGCTCCAGCCTCCATGTCTATTTATTGTCTACCGGTAGGTCTCATTGGTCTCTAGGAGCAATTAAATTTGAACTAATAATCTTATTATGAATTTGTGTACAATTAAGAAACCTTATAACTATAAGCCATTCATAGTCATACTTCATTTCATTGTTAATTACCAATTTACCATTAATGATGGTTAACAGTTAACACTATAAACTTTACTGTTAGTCTGTCTGTTTACAACTCACCAAGTTTTCAAGATTATACTCATCAGCTGATGGAGACTCACAATGAAGCCTAGTCTGCATTTGAGATAGACAAAAATTCATCTTCAATTGGTTTGATTGGGTATTTGGTAGCTAAATGCTCAATGCTAAATTGAAATAAATGATTGGTAAATGATTAGGAGATTAGCTAGTACCTAAATTGGAATAATTGTTTATTTGTTAGCTACTTCATTGGTCAATTTTCATTCCAAATAAATCTGTAAAAAAAATAATTCAAGGTGTATGAGACTTTGACAATTAAAAATGACCATGGATTAGGTCATTAGGATAAGAACAATAGAACATTACAACCTATGTACGTCGTAGTCGGTACGGTCGTACCAGATAACCACTAATCAGTACTTAACTAAGGGCCGGTCCGCAGTGTTGCCAGGTTTTTTCTTGGCGAGAATACCAGATTGCCTAGTTCAAAATACCAGAAATATACCAGAAATTCTTTCGTTCAAAAACAGACTAATACCTCCAAATTTAATGAAATTATTCGTCAGAAACGTTGGTTAGAAAAAAAATCATCTTATGTACTGCGCAGTTATCTGGCTTGACGATAATTAGCCAAATTGAACACGTTATATTTTTTCCCCTCTGGAACATTTTGAAACTTTTCTTTTCCTGTGTTTGATTACATTGACACTTTTTCCTTTTTTTATCAGTGTCATTGTGGCACTTTTTCGTCTTCGCTCAACATGAGCAAGCCACGGAGACAGGTCATCTTCCTTTTGCTTATTTTTGTACATGCTTGCATATTGCATTAATCTAACATTTCGGGTGTGATCGCTTGTTGCGGTTGAGCAGATAGCTTTTGGTTCAAATAAGGGACTCCAGTACCTTAGTTGAAATTTTATTCCGTTGCTTGTTTTTTCACATAGTTGACTTGTGAAAACGCTTGCACCACGAATGCTTTGGAGACAGGCCAAAGTAGGCAAGTGATGCAGTAGGCAGCCAGTTCCCTGAATGGATGATAATTGTCAAGATCAGTGAAATATTGAATGACACCCCAGAATTCAAGTGGCACTCCAATAAGTGGCACTCTAGAATTCAAAACCACCAAACAAAAAATCATGAAAAATGGTGGAGCTTGCGTCGCAGAGATCGGTTCGACAACCTCACTCGTCCTAGGCCATATCATCAGTTCATCACTGATCAGTAATCAATCGAGGATCATCACTCTCGTGCTCATATTGCACTAAGCACTTTTGTTAAATGTTAACATGGTGCACGGCTGATTGGTGTAGGTCCGGAGAGATCCAAGGCGTTCGATTCAAGGCTTATTGGTGCACAAAATTGGTGGTGCACGGCTGCGCTCCCCCGGACATCCAGCCCATGCATATTTGCAGGTCACCTCCACTAGCACACGAGATGAAATATCAACACTGGGTAAAAACTCGAGAATTCCCTTCATCTGCATTCCAATTTTAATCGGACGGCCGAATTGCGTAGCTGTAATAGGTTTTCATTGAGAATTTCAAGTTTGTTAGAGTGACTAGAGTCGTTGCAATCGTAACTTGCAAAATATGTACTATTTGTAAAATACTACGTGTTTGGTAAGAAAATAGGTACCGTGGAAATATGCTTTATACTAACTTCTAGCTTTACGATAAACCGCCTAACAATCATATAATTGCCGAAAATGCGCTCCCTGTACGGCCGGGGTAGTATGTAACTATGTATAGGCCGCACATTTTCGAAGCAGACTAGTCGAGGCAAAGCTATAAAAACGACGCCGCAACCTCGAAATCCTCAGTACCACCTGAGCTTTGATCGACTTCGCTTGCCTCTTCTTCTTCAGCTCAAGATCTTTAAAATCGGAAAGCAGCAATGTTGAAATTTTCGAAGTTTGAACGTTGGACCTCGAATTATTAAGCTCGAAGTGAACTAGGTAGGGGCTGCTGGAGTCGTTAACCCAAGAAAATTAATTGTGCGTTGACCGTAACGTCTCGTAATGAACGTGCTGGGCATTAGTTTAGAATATTTGTTGGATGAATATCACACTGCTCGACTGAAAGAGATTTGTACGTTCGAAGTTACAGCACTAGTAAAACTAGTTACTTCTACTTACGCGCGGGGCCGCGGTTCTCCACTCTAGGTTCCCGCGGACGGTATGTGACTAAAATTGTCAACTCTCGTAGTTCGCTACGTACTAGTAAGGGTTAGTATGTAAGAGCTACATACTAGTAAATAATTGTTTCTCCTAGCTGCGACAGGGCGTCATTTTTGCCACTAAGCCGCTCGACTTTACAAGAGAGAACTCAGAACTGCTACACGATTTGACTTGAATGACTTCAGCCTGCAACTACACAAGAGCTGCCAGCTCCACGATCTTAAACTTATTCATCAGTCGGTCTCGTTTCAGCCTTTCAGGCTCAGCATCAGAGGGTGCGGACAGCTCGTCTGAGGAGCGTAAATCTCTCTTCCTAGAATATGAAGAAATTTGAGGTCGGTAACTATTATCGCGTCAACATGATAAGGCCAGAGGTTTTGATGGCTAGCGATTCGTACATGGGGAACGCGGCGAAAAATAGTAATACTTGTCATGGATATTAGTCATAGACTCGAGATGACGTGCAACTTTGTCCAAGCTACGCAGATTTTTCAATTGTGCGTTGGAGCGAAATTTCGTGGCGGAGGATCATTTAGAAAAGTGATGGCTCCAGTCAACGGTGATCATCTAAATTTTCCTGTCTAAAATAGCATAGAGCCGAAGTGATCACCAGGCTCTAATTTGTCTAAACACTGCTTGGATAACTGAACATTAGAAGTAGAACGATCGCCATACTTTCACATAGCCTGTACTTGTTCCCTGCCGCACCGGCGCACAATCCAGGCAGCATTCGCAGGCAGGAAAGTTGACCTAAACTTGTTGGAATGTTTCACTTTACCATGAAAGATCGCGTCTAGTACAGACTTCAAGGAAAGTGAAAATCTCGACTGCTTTTTTCGGTTAACTTGTGAGCAAGAATAACTGGGGGATCATAAAAATCCGCCGACAGTGGTGAAGAACCTGCATTGATGATAGGACTTCGGTTTCTTATTAGCATGCGTCGCCTTGTTGGAATAGGCGACGTACGCTGACTCGCCTAACTCCTAAGTACCCACATGTGTGGCGCTTTTTCAAGTTTATCTTCTGGCTCTGCCCACAATTTGGAGCACTTCGGTAGGTTTTTATCTGAGCAGCCGGTTGAAGTATCTATTCAAGCTCCATGTATAGCAATTTAATTATTGCTTTAAAACAATTCGGTATTTGGACTTGATGACAGACACGCATGCATATCTAACCGTAAGAATCCCAGCGAAGTCTCGTTAGTTTACGTAGCGTTATGAACATCACCAGATTTAACGCGCTTTTTAAATGTTGAAGGTTGGACGAAAATTTCAGATGCGCTTGGAACTCCCATGCGTTGGTGTAGCATTAGAAGAACGTGATACTATGAATAGTGGATACTGCTATTGTCAGCGAATCTGAAGTTTATTTAGACGGTCACACGGATTATTCGCATGTACTCGTGCTGATCCCGGCAACGTAGCAACCCGTTACTCGCCGAGCTTCTTTAAAGTGAACTAGTCTCGGTCGACATGATTTTCTCTCTCCTGCCGTAGTCTTAAAGGAACTTGGAAAAGTAACAAGTAACTTCATCAGAATGTTCATTTTATTCAGACAAGTCTAAATAATCGAACATGCATGCACTCTGAGAAATGAGATAGGTAGCTGTTCACATCTATATACTTCTATCAGCATATCCACAGTTCCGGGCATTGTAATGCAGCATTTCCTAGGCTTCGGAGGCTTGCAGCTCAGCACTGCCAGTGTCCACGCCGGTGTTTCGGCGCCATACATGGTCGCCCAGAAAGATGACTAGCATTAGCTTTATCTGGTGCTGAACTTGGCACAGGAGCAGCTGCATTAGAGTATGCTGGCAGATACTGGACGGGAGAAGAGCGTGGAAAATATGGAGGTGAAGGGCCGTCGCTAGGAGCCCTGATGCCGGTAGAATATAGAGGGTGAGGAGGCATCGTCGACGCCCTACCATTATGGTAGACGCCGTTCTTCGTTCCCATTGGAATCTCTGGGACTCTTAATAGGTGGCGGGACCGAGAAACTCGTGGGTTCGTCTAAATTTCCGTACAAACCATGTTCACGGCGCTAGATGTAGATAGTTGCACGACCAGGATCCCTTGGTAATCACCGTGTGATCTGCATTACCTGTGCATACGGAATATCAAAACTAGATAAATTTTCACATTCATCTGCAGATCTGTCGACAATAGAAACTTCAGTTCACACAAAAAACTGTCAATAATAAATCTAATCTGAATTATATTCAATCTGAATGATTCTTTTCAATACTAAGGGTTAGTTAGTTAACCATTTAATTTAAAGATAACCTACTAATAGCAGTAGACAAATATTTTCGTTAACAAGATCTGTATAGATAAGGAATAATAATTAATCAAGTGCTTCAAACTTAAGCCGCATTTGTACAATAGTAAAAACCAATCCACCTGTGATTTAACGTTGGCATTACTTGCTTACATCATTGTCAAGTAGAAGAACCTATGATATTCAAATTTAGCCGGACAACACCCATCAAATTACACTCCTCAATTTAATTTAGGCATACTTACAAGTTTTTATGTGCTTCAAATACTTGCTGCGCCGATAGCTCGAAAACCCGTTGGCGCACACGTATTTGACGAGCTTGGTATGGAGCGCGTTCACGTGCTCATCGAAATGCGTCCTGTTGCAAGTCGTGTATCCGCAGTACGTGCATTTATAGACCGGCGGCGACCGCAACCGGGCTGAACGTCGTGGCCCTCTGCAATTATCGCCTGCCTCGAGCTGCCGCTCCGACTCCTCCAGGTCCATCGAGACGACCTCCAGGTTGTCTCGTCTCGACCTCCAGGTTGTCTCGACCGCCAGGTCGTCTCGGTTGTCATCGAGACGACCTCCAGGTTGTCTCGTTCTGCACGCTCAACGCAAGTCGCGCATGCCTGCAGCACCGTACGTTTATTCTTGAGAATAAATAACATGAATAACATGGTTTATGGAAATAACATGGTTCCGAATAACATGGTTTAAAAAGTTCTTTCTGAAGACCACACTTTTATAAGGAAGGAGTGTCTATTTTTATATTCTATTTTTTAAATATTAAAAAAATAATTTTTCACTTTTTCAATATATGAAAAAAAATTCAAATTTTTACAATTATTTACTTTATAATTAA